AACAGTTTACGGAATTTCCCGAAGATACACTCTTTTTCAGCGCCCAAATCACTCGCTATTCTTTATCTCCTAACTTTCTTCTATTGGTAACTGTTAATCATTCACAGTGACACATTTAAATTTCGGAACCTTTTAGATTCTCCTTGAAGTGCATGCTGAGTATTACGCCAAATCAAGTTATCTTATAATTAGTTTCACTTTGGGAGATGAAAGACTTGTGTTCTCTGTATAAGCTTAAATTAGTCTTGCAGCAGTCTGTTTTTGAACAGTCAGAAATTGAACCCAAGGTCGTCGGTTCAGTTTGGATAGGGGAGGAAAGCAGCTGCATCTCTCTTATGGCAATGCTTGATTGCGACCTCTTAAAACTGTAAAGTATGTTTTTTTTAAAGCCGCGTTGTTTCATACCACTTTTCAGTTATTTATGGACCCTTTGGAAGGGAGTAAAGTTCCATAATGTTTTAGCTGTCCGAGGCTCTGGAGTCAGCGGGTGTCGGGAAGCAGGTAGCTGAGGAGTATATGATAATTGCGAAACGCGTTTCACCTACAAAACCACTCGAACAAATTGGAGCTACATATGACACCGTCGCGCGCCTCCCAGTCACACATCACCAAAGCAGTCTGGCATCCGTGCTGTCAAAGCCGTAAGTCCTGAGTGTTAAAGATAGGTTTAATCAAAAATGAGAAAGGTCAGTGCGAGGACCAATTTTCCCGACGTGCCTGAACACCTGTCATAGAAAACCATCTATAGTAACCCCAAGCAGATTCGACCAAAGACAAAATCTAGTTTTTTCGGAAGCTTAGCTTCCGCTTATCACTCGAAAAAATGGGGCGACGCAGTCACACTTCCCGGTTATAATGCAAGCACGCTGCTCTTTCCGAATAGGTTTTTGTTTTATGTCATCATGTGGCTTTAGTGGAATCCTAGACTTAATTATGGGTCTATAAATCTCCGAGAATGTCCGCAAACTACGCAACAGAAAGTGTCGCCGGCGGAAAATAACGAACTTAGCTGACATATATGGGCACTGGAACGGCAGACTTCCGTTAAGTCTCAAATTTTACGATCTTGTCTATGGGTTTAATGTTTGAAATTCCATTTACGTATGCAGCGTGTGTGAACTGGTCCAGATTTAAACTCCAAAGCTTATGACGGGACAGCGGCTATCCTCGATTCCGCACCTGTAATGGACAATTTCCTAACAGCAAGCAGTGTTAGCTTTAAAATCGCGGTATTTTGGTCTCAGTTCTGATTTTTTGCTGATGCTTTACACCAAGAATCATTTAGCCGCAATCGCACAAGCGCATATAATTAGTGTACTTTATCATATTTTCGATAAGCCTCAGTTCTAACTTGTAGCTTGATTGTGAGACAAATGTTGAAAGTTATATTTCATGTTAAATCGTTGAACAAATGTCTCTGGAAAACTATCGACTTTTTACCTCGTTAATGACCCATTTTGGTCGAATACGCACCGATTATTCGGCGAAAGTTAAAAATACTTGTATAGTAAAGTAAACAAGCTCACTGGCAAGTTCGGAAATATGTACAGTACGCTCTGAACAATGGAACAGCTAACACAGCTTATATGGAGCAGTCAGCCCTGTGAATATTTCATGTCACGTACTCAAAAATTGAAATTAACAATTTTTAGGGCGAGAGATATGACGTTCTATGCCAGCTTAGGCCGGCCGCCTCCACGAGTATTGTGCAGATAATCTTACTTTGATGTTCCAGTTCAATCAAAGGGCAGACCATAAAGAGATGGCGCGCAACAAATCCGTGAAAACCGTCGTGTTTGCCCTCACTCGGTAGTTCCAGTCTTTATAGGTGTTTGTGATGACCTACGGTCTCGCAACCTTCACAAAAGGTTGTCCCGAAAATTCGCGAGGCCCTGTGTTCAATTTTCACTGTCCCTATCATGCCTGTCAAGGATACCCGATTTAGTCCCTCTTTCTAACTTTGTCTTCTACAGTACTCCAGAAAATTAATTTAAACACTCGAAATATGGGAAGATAGTCTATCAAGTACTTCAATGCTTCCAATGTAACAATATTAGAAGTGTTTAAACAGCGTCACCATTTACAACCCCAAAACCGCAAAATGATTCGTCAAGGAAAGGAGGAGCTAGCTTACAACATAATAATGGTTACACCATTAGGCTGGACGAAGTCCATACTTTGCGTCATGTAGACAGTTTGGCTCCATCAACGTTCTCAAACAGTGAGAGGGTTACTATCCAAGTGAAAAATACTCGCCTAGGCTCTGTCGTCATCAAAGTTTGTTTATGGATAGTTCTAGAGTTCGATCAGAACAGTGTAATTGGTTGAAAGTCTACGTGCTGCACCCTGAGAGCACAAAAAAACATTTTCTTAAGTTAAAAGATGTTTGCAAAGCATAGCATTTGTGAAGAAACGCAGCCATGCCGGAAAAGTAAAAATTAGCAGTCACGGTTAGGGTTGACTGGTCATATCCTTTTCTTTGTCATCGGCAGTCACTCATGCCTAGTATCAGTTATCAGAAGTGTTATGTATCCAAAACAGAAGGCCAGTTGTAGACAGGACGTTCACCGAGAACGGGAGACAGCACAAGTGGGGGTCTTGTAGAGACGGCTATATATATTGCAGGGGTACTGTCACCGGCTAAAGGGTGGTCAATTAGCACGAACGTCGTCTGAACGGGGGTACATGACGTTGGTCACGCGCATGTGGCTTGATGTCTAGACCGTCCGGGTCGCATACACTGCACCCCTCCTCCCTAATGTGAACAATATCGGGAAGGGGGGAGGAAGCGTAAAGGTTAGTAATGGAAAGTTTACAAATGTTCTAATGGAATTCGTCCTGAAAGCAGTAAACAGACTTACGTATTAGGGTCGATCTTCTTAGGGCGGTACTTTTGACCTCTGCGCCGCTTTGCGGCGTCAGTGGTTCCTGTGCCCGTGAGTTAGCTCCGGTCGGAGTATTAGGAGGATGGGAAACATACACCTCGACCGGCGGCGTTGTGCTCTGTGTAGGCAGTAGATATTCGATTCTCCGGATGCCATGATCCACATCTAGACTTGCTGGCAGTTCGAACTTCCCGACTCCTCCACTTTCTGTGTCCGTCTGGCGGTGAAATTGGTCCAGATGTTGGCGCACAGTTCTCCTATTTTCTAACGCTAATTCTATTATTTGCCCCCAACTTCTTCGAACAGCCGCCGGACAGCAGTCCTTTTCGTGTTCTAATTGCGTGTAGGCACTTCCGTTTGGCTCAGATATTGGGGGGTCGGTCGTTCCCGTCACATCGGGCTTTCATCTTTGTCTGTTTTTTTTCAATGATTCTGTCATGCGTTGAGGGATTAAACTGGCTGAGTCGTGTGCGCAACTGCCGCTTGAACATCAATTCTGAAACGAAGAGCTGGTTGAGTCGTTTGGTGTTATGCGACAGCCGAACAAAAAGCGTGACAGCTTCGTGATTAAGTCTGCATGCTTCTGTTTGGCTAGTCCGCGCTTTATTGTTTGAACTGCGTGCTCTGTGAGGCCATTTGAAGCGGCGTGGTACGCGGCAGATGTTAAATACCTAATTCTACTTTTCTCCATAGATTTTTTAAATTCTGCACTAGTAAAGGCTGGGCCATTGTCTGAAACGGCCATTTCGGGTATCCCAAAAGTAGAAAAACGGAGCGCAACATTTTGATTGTAGTAAATGAAGAACAGGAGTTTCCGGTCAGAATCGCATCAATCCATTTAATGTGGGCGTCAACCAACACCAAAATCATATGGCCTTGGAGTGGCCCAAAATAATCAATTTGTACCCTCTTCCACGGCGAGTCGGGCCAGGCCTAGGGCTTCAAAGGCACCTTGGGTTACGTCTTCTGTGTTATTTGACACGCAGGACATACTTTCAGCGCATTTTCGATAGCTGCTCAATTTTGGACCACCAAACATGGCTGCCGGCAGGAGCTTTCATTCTAACTGTACCAGAATGAGCATTGTGCATTGGCCTGTCGGCTTTGCGGTGGCACAACTATACGATTGCTCCATGGTATGCACCCGTCTTGTAGACTCAGCTCGTTCTGACGGCTGTAGAATGTGAAGGAAACACGATCGCTGGAACAAGAGCTTTATTAGTCTGAATTTTCTGATTCTCATTCGAATCCATCATCAGAGACAGAGTCAGATAAAGGTAGCAAATTTCCCAGGTGGTACAGTATTTACAGGATGCATTTGACAGGCCGATACATGCCTGTTATAGTTTGCAGCTCCCGAGTGGATCACGGCTCGACTGGCCGGGAGTTGAGGTATGCAGGTGCTATGCGCTGGTGTGCCGGTCAAAAATATTGCTCTCCCGTACGTGAAGAATGACCCGGAAGCCGTCAGCCACCTCTCGGAATTGGAGTTGCACACAGACCGGAGGTAACCATAGGGCTCCAGATCATGAGCCCGAAAGACCCATTGCCACGGCAAGAAACATCTGGAGTCGATTACCGGGTCTGCTGCAGTTGTCGGCAAAGTAACTATGTGAGATAAACTGGAAGACTACTCGGGACGCGAATGGCCGAGCACGCAGCAGCAGTGAGGAGGAACGACGCCAGCTCCTCAATCGACGGGGCCCAACCGCATACTCAAGTTTAATGAAGTATAAATTTTTGATAGAGGCAACAACCGCGTGGACCGTGGGTCATGGTTTTCCGGTCCTCAATCGATCGGCAAGCGTAACGACCTCCCTTCTCCATATTCGGCATTTAGACTTCGCCTAAGCAAAGTAGATAGTCGCAAGGAGAGCGCGCGGATGATTACTGTTCCAGTCAATGTCAGAGAGCCAAGTTGCCCAAGAGTCCACGCGAATGTCTTAATCCGGCAGTCAGCCACTAGACGGCGTTGGACGAGCGTGAGAACGAACAATATTGACCGACACACAAGTGCATAACAACTGAATATTTTAACATCTGGCCAGTCGAGCCGTGATGCACTCGGGCGCTGCAAACTATAATAGGCACGTAGCGGCCTATCAACTGCGTCCTACAATTACTGCAACACCTGGGAAATTTGCTACCCTTATCTGACTCTGTCTGTGATGATGGATTCGAATGAGAATCCGAAACGTCAGACTAGTAAAGATCTTGTTCCAGCTATCGTGCCTCCTTCCTCGCACTTACTTCCTGGTACTTGCCTTCCCGCTTCTATTAGCGGGCTGTAGAATGGGTGAAGATCAGGGGAGGCAGAGGACGGCCAGCCAGACTGCAAGGATCTCTTTACCCGACTTAACAGAAGATCTCTCAATGTCCACTGTCTAACTCGTCGACAGGTTACGGGTGCGTTGACTAGGTTCTGCAAAAGATTCACGGTCTCAAAATCAGGTGCCCTGTTAACGCCATCGTCTACAATAGAAAGCCTACTCAAGGCGTCGGCCATTACGTTTGCACTACCCGTAACGTATTTCATTGCATATGAGTAAAAGGAGAGTTTGTGCCCATCGTTGCATTCTCGGCTGTTCCACCCCTCCTTTTTCATCCAGTAAACCTAAAAGGGGCCTCTGTTAGTGTGAATCTTGAAGGGTTGGTCAAAACGATACAGGTGGAAGCGTTGTTGGCCAAACATTATTGCTAAGGACTCTTTATTTATCTGCAAATAGTTGGTCTCCGCCTGGGACATAGTTCTTGATGCAAAGGCGATTAGTATCTCCGTACCAGAAGGCATTTGGTCAACAAGAACCGCACCTACGTCGTACGGAGACACATTACATTTTAGAATGGTACGCTTTTCGAGATCATAATGAACCAGGATAAATTAAGAGGTAAGAACCAACTTTGGCTGTTCAAAAGCCATTTGTTCTACCTCCTATCAGTTCCAGAAACGACTTTTTCAAGTAGCCCATAAAGAGGCTTTAGGATTGTAACCGATTGATTCATAAAGCGCCTAATGTGGGTAACCAACTCCACAGTGCGTGACCGATCCGATGAAATTTTGACCGATATACTGAAATGCGTTTTCGAGTAGGAAGAACTACTTAGGTGGGGTTGCAATGTTGCCTAACAAACGACATGATTCCATAGCATTTCAGACTCGGCATGATGTCGGCTTTTGAATTCACCTCCTTTCGACCTCCCATAGAAGACACAGTTCATATTTATTTTCGATGGTCTTATAAATTCAAATATTTTTTATGATAAAACATGCACAAACATATACTTTCTTTCACTTGTCTGGTAGAAAATAACATTGTCTTTACATTTTTTACCTAAAGAATGCGTTTAGTTAGAATTTAAAAAGTTTCTAATGATGATCGTTTTAAGACCGTGCGACGTCCCTACCCACAACGACGCACATCTCCGTCTACCAATGCTCCTTGTGAAACGTACAACATCGTCCACATACATGGCAAATTTTTTTGAACTTCGCATGGTTTTTTTTATAAAGACATACAGGAATACATGATTTTTCTTGTGCGGAATGCATGCACCCTGTACACTACAATCGCCAAATGACAATGCAACGGTTGATATGGCCCAAAATTATTGGGGAAATGGGAAACTTTTCCAAACCTAAATTTATGCTTTCTTCGGGTAAAAACTGTAAACACAATGTTGGATCTTGCCAGACAACTAAAAGAAAGTATATTTTTGTGCATGTTTTCCATTAAAAAATATTTGAATTTATAAGGCCATCGAAAATCAATGTGAAAGATACAAGCTATTTAAGTAACTCTTGTTTGTCACGTGTGGCATCTAAAGGAAATCAAAAGGAAGTGCATTCAAAATCCGACATCATGCCGAGTCCGAAATGCTATGGGATCACGTCGTTTGATAGGCAACATTACAACCCCACCTAAGTAATCCTTCCTAATCGAAAACGCATTTCAGTATTTCAGCCAACATTTCATCAGATCGGTCACGCACTGTAAATCCTAATCTAGAGTGCTATAGCTGGCCGACGACGATCAATAAGCCAGGTCTTATTTTTCCTATCACTGTAGTCTTTATGGAAAACTTTCGACTTCTACACGTGCTAACACGATGTCTAGTCTCTAGGTGACTGCGCTCAGATGGGCCGGTTAATAATATGTCGCCAAGATATGCGCAAACGTGATGTTTGTCTTTAAAGAGGCTATCAATAAAACACTAAAAAACCGGGCGCAGAACTTACTCCAGATGGTTGTCTTTCGTATCGAAACAAACCCCGATGCTTACTAATGGTGGTGGCGTCTCGGAATTCAGTACCGAGGACGACTTGGTTGTAAGCATACTTCAGGTCCAAACTTGTAAATTGGTGACCACCTGAGGTGGATGCGTACAGATCCTCAACGCGAGGTAGAGGATAAGGGTTTAGTTTATTTGCTGAGTTGATTGTCAGCTTGTAATCTTCCCAGATACGCACATAATCATTGGATTTAAGAATATAAACTATTGGGGCTGCCCATTCTCAGTATTGCATGGGCTCACTAATGAACGAGCATGGCGTGCTCGAAGCTGTCCGCCTTGATTTCTTTATATCTGAAACCCTGAATGGCCAGAGTTAGATTCGCAATAAAATCACTGACGCATTGATTAGATTCCTGACGCATCTGACAAAACCGATAGCGGCTCAGGGAGACGTTGCCTTTTCTTCACCATGCTGACTCGAGCTTTGTGAATGTTTTTTAAAGATTAGCAGCCTCTTTGTAAATGAGGGCATCGAAATACCGTCTTCTCAACACTCCGACGTTCGTTCGGAGGAATTTCAATTTGGAGCTAACGTCTAGTGGCATTGTGGGCGACAAACCGGAAGCAGTTCAATATAATCCTCAAATGTCTTTCTTCATTGTAACCACAAGTCATTTGAGGGCTTCGGAGATCTTCCGGTTAGAAAGGTACCGGTGTAGGCAGCAATGAAGCCGTGTTAGTTTAACTGCGTCGCCAACGTTATGTATCCAAAACAGAAGGCCAGTTGCAGACAGGACCTGTACTAAGAACAGAAGACAGGACGGGGGGGTCTTGTGGACACGGCTGGATATGTGACAGAGGGAATGTCATAGGCTAAAGGGTGGTCAATTAGCACGAACGTCGTCTGAACGGGGGTACATGACGTTGGTCACGCGCATGTGGCGTGATGTTCGGACAGTCGGGGCCGCATACACTGCAATAGGACCGATTGCAAGTACTTGAGACCAGACTGAAGGCCAAAGAGCCGTGAGCACGGCCCTTCTTGTAATTATGCCAGGTCGAAGGAAGTTCATCCACTAGACGCTGTGAGCAGACATGCACATCAACGGATTGATAACCAGTTGGTCAGTCCGTGTAGCCTTAGATAGCTGAATAGAGTTGTATGGACGTCTGCTAGGTACCTTCCTGTCGAATGCCCTTTTTACGGTACAAAAGACGGAAACGCAAATCAGACGTTCATGTGGTAACTTAGGGAGGAGGTGGCCGCCCGGTTGAGGTTTTTTTTATCCATGTGTTATCTTAAGGGCCATCGCGAAAAACAAAGGTGCCCTCGTAATGCTTTCCACCTCAACTAACGGGTTGAATTTCACAATGTGTACTCGTGGCTTTCACAAAACCCACTGGATCGCAGAATATCATATAGACGTTCCATTCGGCATAGTGCTACCGTTCGCACAGGTTTCGAACTCCAGGGCAAAAAGAAAGTTCGATATTCTGACCTGATATTCAGCAAATCCAGTAGACCCCATTCGCCGCGCGAATTAAAATATTCTTAAACACGATCGGGAGAGCGTCATGCCATAAATCAATCAGTAGAACGCTAAACTCAGTCGGACCAGAATCCAGAACGTATGTATTTCCGGTGTGAGCTTAGTGCGCAGCTGGCCGACAAAGAGACATCAATCTGAACTTGCAAATATAATTTTGTTTTCCCATTAACCTAATTTATTGCTTGGCCACATGGCCACGACTTGAAAGACCAGACTACTTAGGAAAAATCACATAATGTGCGGGCCGAAGCCTCAAAAAAACTCATTCATACCTAAAATGAACTTATGACAGTCAGGAGTCCGCTAGGGAATTTGTAAAGTAGCGTGATTTCTCCTAACTTCCCCCTGTTATGGCCTATTTGCTTTCGATTTTAAACGTTACAGGGAAATACGTGCAACCTTGTTCCTTAAAAATCCCTCAACTGTATGCTAAGTTATATATCTTCCGCAGGAATGCGTCGTTCAGAATTAGGTCGCAGCTTAAAAGCCTTCTCGCTAACAAACCAAATTGCCTGATTTCAGGAGTGAAAACGATCAAGACGACGCTGATTGGGTCTCAGAGACAATAACTGCGATTCCCTCGTCTTATCCAAAGCCGGCAACCTCTACACCACTGTCTCATCCTCCTCTCCGTCCCACTCCTCTCCCTTCCGCTCCTGGTGAAATGATGTCACCGCAGATGGCCTCTCAGCCCCAGAAGAGGCCAGTCTTCCGGGCACACAGTCTAGCTGACCGGGACTGGCAGAAAATTCAGTCAATGACGAGCAGAATTCGCCAGAAGAAACTTTCTCAAAGGGCTGCTGGATTCCAGCCAGAAGATGAGCCTTATCTGGTGCAGGCACGGCCAGCGGGTAAGCCGCCCGCCAAGTTCTCGAAGAGTTCAGAATCTGAAGCAAGATCAGCAGGTCAACAGTCAGCTGAGATCGCCGGCGCACCGCAGGAGAAGGGCTCTAGGACAAGTATGAAAGCCCGTTCAAGTGTCAACCTCTCACTCATCCTGAAGGGTGCGTCTGCCAGCAAGCTGACCTCCAGAGTGGATAAATTTTTGCTCTCGGAGGAAGAGCCTAGTATCGCTGTACGTAGAGAGTCAGGCACAAGAGCAGGATCCATTTTTGATCATGTGGACCGCAGTAGCCTTTCTATACGAGGAATCCCCGCGCCGATTCTAGTTCCGTATGCGTCCATTGAAGGTCGCGAGGTGACTACTCTTCGCGTTGCATCCCATGCCTATCCCCTTAGTTCCGACGAGATTCGCCTAATTGAGGGGACTCTGCAGAATAGGAAGCAAGAACGTGAGACTGAAAACGTCTACGAGTGCTACCGCGCCAGGCGAACGACCACGCGCACAACTTCTACCAAACCTAGTACTCGACAGAGAGGCAGCAAGAGTCTCAAAGTGGAGGAGACGACGGACCTGGGAATGCGCAATTCACCAGCTGAAATCGGCTTTTTAACGCGAAATCCCGACCTTGTGTTGCAACAGCTTCGCAGCCGCCTAGACCCCGGGACTCTGAGCTGTATGATTGAAGATATTCGCAACTACCCCTCCGTGAGCAGGTCAAGAACCATGCTGAGTCAGGCCATGACGAAGGCGATTGATCTCCAGAAGAATGAGGTCCATGCAAACGCGAAGTAGGTGTTTACCGTGAAAGCTATATCCGAAAGGTATAACAAAACCCCATCAAAGGAGATATGCGAGTAGGGCAGCTGCCTAAATGTCAGTGAAAGAGATAGTAATAATTTTTAAGATACATTTATTCAAAAAAACTGTTCATAAACCTTCGCGGTACAAACGCAAAGTCAGTTGATTTCAAACGATCTCCTTTTGACTCATGTTTCCCTTAAAATACATTCCTGGCCTATTTTAATGGCAATGATGACTTAGGAGCCTCCATTTAAGATATTTCTAGATGGACTTACCTCTTGTCAAGAACTACGGTGTTTTTGCCGCGGGGTATATTTCATGTTATAGGTAATATACCACCCACGGAAACTCATGAAGAATTAAATGAAATTTGTGAACATGAGTTTAAATAGAGAAAATTGTCAACCTGGTTAAAACAGTGATATTTGAAAGGAAACATAAACTCGGATTCTTTCGTTCATTTTATATGTCGGTTCTTTAGGAATGCCTTCATTTGAAAATAAATTGACGCTTACGTAGCGTGGATTTTTTGCTGTACCTCCATGCACGTATAAACCCAAACGATGCACTTAGAAGAAGTGCATTTAACCTATATTCCTTGGGTTAATGTTGTAGGAAATTAGGCATTTCTTTTTTTATTTCCTCGGAATGTAATGCGCACTTAGAGTAAATACTTCGTAACAAATATCGGCACAGGATCGGCGGAACGCGCGCATGTGTGGTTCAAGCCGATACCTGTGCTGCTAGTATGGCAAATCAATCAACCAATTAAGCTTTATCAAATTTTTTCACTTTGAGCAAAGCCGCACTTGGATCGAAAAGTTAGGACTGGTGGATACCTTGGACATCTGCAAGCTTTTTTGCTTGGACGCATCGCCCCAAATTTATCACTGGTATCCGAACATGGGAATTGGAACACCCCGGTAATATTGGTGGCATCACGCAAGGATTCAGGGAGGGCAAATAGTCCCGTGGCCTAATTCTAGTCTAAATTTTAATTTTGGCCTTAAACTTAGTCTTAGCTTTAACCCTAACCGCAGCCTTAGCTTCAATCCTAAGCTCACTGGAAAGTAGCACAACATTTGCCGGAATCGGAGACATTCCTATTCCCATGTCTTGCGAATTCATAAGCTTCGGGAAAACTTATAACACGATCTCCCTTTGAAATAGGAAAAAATTGGCAGACCATTCGAAAATCTAAATGTATACTTACTTCTAGTATACAATGTGAGGATGACGTAATTTCCTGCAAAACGTAGATGGACTAGGTGTCTGTAAATCTGTCTAGGAAATATTATTTAATTCGCAGACTGCTTGCATGGCACTTTCCCCAGGGGTAACTTTCGTAGCTGTCAGGAAGGATGCTCAGCCAAAAGTAAGCAGGCTCGTCGCATTCTAAGTTGGGAAATTCCCCGTGATCTAGCAGCATAAATTGACCTTTTGACCACCTGATATTCTCGTTGTAAGTAACATTAATAAATCCCTTTTCGCCAGAGAACAATACTGCAGGACAACTTGTGCCCCAGGGCGGCTTTTCATTATTTTGAGGAAACAGTTTTAACCCGGACAGCATTTGATTCATAAAAGACACTTTTGACATTTCGGCCTTATAATCTCCCCAGAAACTAGTGCGCTAATATATATAAATAACCAATGAAATAATCATTCACAATATACTTTCGTTGCCTTATTTTGAAAGTTTATATGGACGTTTGGTACGAAATTCATCAGCTTCAGCGGGATAATTGCCTAATATCCATAAATTGCCAACAGGCGCCGAGTAGTATACACTTGTTGCATAACTTTTCATGCCGATATCAGAGGTACTATCTAAAAGCCCACACACGTGTTTCGACGATATTCTGCGCTGCGTGACTCAGTTGCGAGGGCTTCGTCACACCACTGGATCCCATCAGTTTTTACACTTCTGAGTCTTTCATATTGACCCAATTGTGAAAAATTCGGCGCCTCGGCGGGATTCGAACCCGCGCAGTAAGGGGAAGGCTTTCATACAGCCAACGCTCTAACCACTTGAGCTACGAGGCCCCGCCGGACGACGCCGGACTTCCGAGTCTGTCAATCTCCTTGTCAAGAATTATGTATACAACGCCTGACCATAGTGGAGATCATTTGTAGTGACCCTGCTGCAACACTGCGCCTTTGGTGCGAAATGAAGTCGAGTGGGAAGTTCGCGATGATTGAGCTCAACCACGTCTGGCGGTAGTGTTTCGTTCACATTGGATTCACCAATGTCGCGGCAGCTAAAGCCATAGGCAAACCAAGGCCGCTACTACCTTCAGAGCCAGTTCAGAATAGAAAGAGGAGTTGAATGCCAGTTGCTAGGGCAATGGATTTTGTGCTGAAAGATTGGAGAACCGGTCGAAATAAGTTGCCAACCGGGCGAGAGAACACATCCGGCGACGCGAACGTGACCGAGAATCGAACGTTCACTGATGCGCACATGCAAGCACTCGCGAGTTTGAAAGCTCAGAACAATAAGCAGGCTGTTCCGCTGCTCTAACAGTCTTCTTTTCGGTATTTGCTTATGAGGAGTAGTCTCCCTTTAAATATAGTAAAAGAGCTTTCTGCCATCCAACTAGCAAAACTTTTTATTTGGTTCATCTTAGTCATTTATGAACATAGAGGGAATCTGGAAGCACAAAGGATTCAGGCAGGGTCAGTTGCTATAGGCCATATCAGAATATTCGCGCCGAAAACATGCGCTTGTCTTCTGAAAAGGTTTCAAATTATTCCATCTTCAGGCTGTACGGTACATCTCAAATCAGCATATGCCTGAGCGTTGGTAAGACGAATGACTTAAAAATTGAGCTATGGGGACATGGGGTCTTGAAATGCTCGAATGGGTAATTACGCCTTTCACATGGGAAGTACTTTAAAGGACGTGCAGTTTTAGAGGGATTGCAAGCTGGAATAACAATAAAATAGGTGCGAATTTATGACGGAAGGGTTTTCACAGATCAGGTGTACTCATGAGATTGTGTCTTGCAGTTCAATCTAGAGTCCTCGCAAGCAGTGGCTAAGCAGCTAGTATAAATGCAGAGGAGGGGATACCGACAAAGACAAGGGGGACTCTGTGTCCACTCCTAGCCTTTTTTGCCGTCGCTATCGTCGTCGCCGAAATTACTTTCATACTTGAAAGTAACAAAAGACTTTCATGCCTTCTGCTTTCAGAACTATAGGGAAATATGTACAGCTGACCTGGTGATTCCAAAAGATGGGTTGACGTAATGCAGATTCAGGTCGCATTTAAATGCCGTTCATTGATCGATCCCTATCTCAGAATCTGATGTACTCACTCAACTTTGCAGTCAGGACCAATCAAGAAACGTCCACTAAATGTGGCTTGGACTTGCATGACCCTAGTTCAACTCTTTAAATTGCCAAGCCAACGGTGAATCCGCAATCTGGACCAACAATCAGGCCAAATCCATGAACATTAATTCTGCGGAATTTTGAGTAATGCTGATTACAGTCAGCGGAACGTGGACCAGTAGTACATTAATTTACTTAAAGACCCACTGGATTGAAACAGGTGTGTGTCTTCATATCTTTCGGTTGGGATATGTCTGGCCGACAAAAAAGCGAATAAACCAGGGACGGTAATGCCAGCCCCCCTAAGTAATAGTGTCATTATATTTTTCTATCGAAAAACATTATAGCACCGCACTCATAACATTCCCTAAATAATCCCGTAGTGCTTAAGAATCCAGTTTATATCAACGAAATTTTTAGACCTAATAGGCAAACCTGGGATCTACATTATCTGGGACCAGAGTTGTTGAATGCTGTTGAAAAAAAATTCACACAATGTTCTACATAACAACTGTCAGTCCTTCTCATAGAAACGTGCGCAAAGTATTTGAATTTATTCATACTAGCAGTACTTTATTCTTAGCTCCATGTCCCCGCCAGGTGTGCATCCCAGAAGCAACGACGTGCCGTCAGCAGACCATCGTCGGTGAAGCCCGAGGATTGGCATCGTATGGCGCCAAATACGCAGGCGCCAACACGGATTCCACTGCTCTACAATGGCAAGAAATTCCACTGCCAGCAAAATCTTTTGGCGGAAAAGGGTTACCACAAGTTTGGAAACAAAATCGGTGATTATTTGACCCGAATGGACATCATTGAGCACATCCAAAGTTCTAACCAGAAGAAGGGTAAGTGCGTGTCTGAAACGTCGGTAAGAGTACACTACACAAAGCTATATGCCAAGTAACTTCAAAAACACTTGTTACATTTCTAAACTACGAGCAAGCACATGTAATAGACAGCTGAGGGAACGTAGGTTGACAACGCCTAACTAGTCAGTGATTACTTTTACTTGAGACTTCTGCGAGTTCAGTTCATCTACCTGCCTTCGAGATGCATTTCGCTTTTACCAGATTCGAAGTATGTACATGAAAACGGTAGGGACTGACTCTATGGTTGACACTAACTGAGGGCAGCCAGTACTTGGCTTGTTATTTTCACGTATTGTCTCGTGCAGCAGAAGTGCTCGTGGCTGTCTGATATGCAAAATTCGGGCCCTCACATCACCTTAATCCTCGTTTCGCAATCAAGTATACACTAGAATGGGGGGGACTCGATAGTCTGAGACTTCGGAATTGCACTCGAGCTAATATTTGGCGAAAACAACAGCCAAAGTTTCCAGACGCACAGCGAATACGACATATATAGCAAGTAAATGCTACGCAAACATACACATACTATAGTTAGGAGCTCCAGCATTTATTACATATATATAGTTCGTGCATGCATATCTCCGGTTGAAGCGAAAATGCGCGTTGCCGGACATAACTGAGAAAGTAAGGCGATCACAGGCACCATGCTTTTATTAGTCTGGCGTTTCGAAGGCAAACAAGCTTCCATCATCGGAGGCTGGTTGCGTACGGCACGTCACAGTATTAAAGGGTTTTTCTTCGTGCTGGGGTGTCACTGACTTCCAGCGCCTTGCATCACGGAGTTGGTGGTTATTTTTATGGTGGCGTCGGCTCCTCTTCATCCTTTTTCGGGCGTGGGGGGTTGACGTCGGGGTAACCGCCGCCCTTGCCCTTGTTTGCATTGTCTGTTGTCCGCCCTTCACGTATCTCGCCTTTCTGTCCCGTTCGCACCTGCCCATAACCATGTGAACGGTGGTTTTCATGCGGGTCTGCAATCTTTTCTCGGTCTCTCCAGCGTAGTTTGCTTCGCAGAAATTGCGCTGGATCCGATAGATGACGTTGGCTGTTTCGCCTCGTGGCAGAGGTGTTTTTGGCCTCATGACCAGACCACTAATTGTCGCTTCGGGATCGTGGGCGATACCGATACCCGATTGTTGCAAGATACGAGCAACTGCTTCGGGCTACCCAAAGTACACAAACATGGTTGCCCACTTCGTCCTATCGTGTCTTTGGGCTGGCCAAATGGATGTTCGGACGCCTGAACTGCCTCACCTCGGGCTCCAATGTGACGGTCCGTTCATTCGTCCATTTCCTGGAAAGACTCAAAGGGTCACAAATTAACGGAGACAAGGTCATGGTATCGTTCGATGTAACCTCAGTTTTCGCCTGGATCTCGACAGCCAATATACTGAGGCAAACAACACATCTAAGCGGGCACATCTAGCGCAACTGCTCAAATACTGCCTGCAAGCGTTTTTCAACTTTGAAGGGGCTGTACAGAAGCAAATCAAAGGTACGCCGATGGGCTCACCGCTATCCGGTTTCATCGGTGAAGCGGTTCTTCAAAGATTGGAAGCTTCGGTGTTCGCAAAATACATGCCAAAATTTTGGGCGCGGTATGTGAAGGATGCTTTCGTCGTTCTGAAACAGGAAATGGTCTCAAAATTCCATGCGCTACTGAATTCTGTATTTCCCGATATTCAATTCGCCATGGAGACAGAGGACAACAATCAGATCGCGTTCCTAGACGTTCTGGTTCATCGCAAGGTCAACGGGAGCCTGGAAAACGGTCTACAGGAAGGCCACCAACACTCAGCAAGTTTATAAGATGAATTGAATATCGGAAAATACGGAGTATTTATAGGATTCAGTCGCTATGCTACTGCGAACCAGCTACTAGCATAGCGATTGCATCCTGTAAATACTGGAACTTCCTGTGTATGAATTACCTGTATCCGATACGGTCTCTGGTGATGGGTTCGAACGTAAGTCCGATGTGTCATGCGAATAAAGCTTTTGTTCCAGCGGTCGCATCTATTTCTTCTCAACTACTTCGAGAACCTCGCATTTTCGTTTGTGTCTGTGGAGTAACTATTTTGTTCATTACCGATACGAGCGAAGTAATCAAGACAACCGAATACTCGGATGTGGGTCACAAAACCATCATCGCACCAAGTAGGGGACCATGTGATGAATGTAGAAGCTGCTAATTCTAGTTGGCGCGCGGTTGTGTAACAACTACATTCAGTAAATGCCGTATTTCCTGTAGTTGCAAATGTTTCCTGTTGTTATCTCTGATGATTACTTTGGGAGTAAATCCGAAACGTTGGATGAATTACGCTTTTCGTTCCACAGATCAAATTTCCTTCTGAACTACTTTCTGGGAATTAATTTTTTGCATGAATTATTTTGCGTCGGATGGCTTATTTTTATGGCCCAGTAACCTTATATCTATGTAAAAAAAACTTATGGAGGCTTCCCATGCAACAGTAGACCTAACTAGGTTAGCAATGAAACTCGTAACTAGTCATGCGCATATTAGATCATCAATAACCTAAACTGGTTACGTATTTCAGATATCCGACTGCAAAACAGGGTGGTTTGTTTGAGGCAGTCATGTCCGCACGAAGAACCAGGGTGACTAAACAGCGCCTATACCTATAACGACCAAGAGGCCTGTTCCAGTACGACCGTAAAATGGTTGACGAAAAAAATATCGTCTCAAACATCTTTACGGTCAAAGAGTCTGACCGCAGTGGGTCGCTTTCGTAAACCGCCGCTATTGCTGTTGACTTCTCCCATCCCACTCATCATCTGATGGTTCCTATTAGTTAAGCCCTTGTGAACTTTGGTGATTGGACCAAACAGTGACAAGAATTGCAGTGACGAGGCGCAACCCAATAGGAATACTTTGACCGTAGCAGTAAAGCATTTACTTTACATTAGGGAAGATCATAAAATATTAATGCTTTGTAAGAAGACGCAAAAGGAGGCATGCAGTTTCACTAGCATAGAGATCGTAACTCTACTTTAGCTCTCGCAAGGGACTGTGCATGTCGATCCGTATGAGTGCTCGGAGCAAGCAATTTCTGTGATTCAAAGATAAGTATCCCGAAGAAGTCACCGCCTGCAAAGTCGAGAAGAGACGAAAAATCGGTAACACGTGTGGAACGAAAAAGGCAGGTAGTACCAGAGACAGCAAATTTTCAGAAATATTCGAGCCATCCTCAACCAGTGAGATAAAAATTGCAACCATCAATTAGTCTTACTCGATAAAGGTGACAGACTACCCCGGGTAGATGTGTTACCCGTTAGCCTAGTTGCTGGCGCGTCGACAGGTGGCGGATATTGGAAAGAGGCTTAGCGAAGGTTAGCTGTGAAATAAATAGGCTCTCAGGTCTGGTGAATAAGCAGTCGCGGACCAGCAGCCACACAGAGGGCTGACGTCTGGCACGCCGACTGCCTTATAAAATGTCGCAGTTTGATGGAGGCGCTGTGACATGACGACCGTGAACTGCCATTAAATAAGTTTCCTTGCCACCACTGCCTTAAACTCAGTCTCTTTGGCCGGAATGATAAAGGAGACTAAGTCAAACAAAAAATCCAAGCGTCTGTTGGAGACTCGTCTGTACTCAAAATCCACAAATCTCATTAAAATGTTACGGCGTCCGTAGGGACCGAGGAGTTACGCAACCCTGGCCATGTGGTGCACGACAAGTAGTATGCGAGCTTGACTGCTCAGTGGGAACTAACTAATGGTACTGAACGCTGTAATATGCGAACGGTCAGAGACTGGTGCTCCAACTCCGACAGTACAGTCTTAATAAGCATAACGTGGATTTCTGTCACCTGCCCGAAGTCGGATTTCGTAGCAAATGTTCCGGAGAAATAAAGATCCCGGGAGTTAATTCCCACTTCTCCCTGTACTGCGGCGGTCCACGCGGCTCCTCTGGTAGACACGGTCTGACGATCGCCCCCTCGCAACACTGGAGCCGTGCATTACTGGCATGGAAACCGGTCAATGACCGGATGGCTTACATGCGACTAAAGGATCATTTCACGAACATCTATGCCGTCTCGTGTGCGCAACAACATCCGCTGCCGACCAGCGTGATACATAAACTTTCTATTCCTCACTGTATGAATTGCTTGAAAGGCTCTCACCGTGTTCTCTGAGACTGTAATAGCCGAACTAGACACGGAGACTCTTCAGTCACCATAGTGGCTGTCTTGGACTTGGCTTTCGGTGTGACAATAGTGAAAGGATGATGAATTTTGCTTATCAGAACCGACTGCTTGTCATCATCACGTACTTCCGGCATTGTCACAAACATCTGCTGACCTGCTTAACCATACGGCCATTCAGGTGGACTACAAACTAGCTAGCTCATGGTTCCGCAACTGTGTTCACGATATCGGATAGGTACGTGGGGGCAAAACTGATAACGCCCCTAGGTCAGACCATTTTTTCGTTCACACACACCTGAACGTTGGGGGTACTCGGAAACCCTACCAAATTATCCACCGAATTAGTGGTATATTCTCTGCACTGGGTGACTGTTCGAGATGTGAATGGCGGCTTCATTACTGGCAACTTGGCCGGCGCTGGGCGATGGCTTGAACAACTCAAGCACCCCCTCAACTTCGATGATCAATTCATCACACCCTCTATATCCTGTGGAGCGGAATTCCATCCAACTCTAACCTACGTAGCGTCATACGACCTTTCTTCTGAGGCAGAAATCACTGATGCAAGACGGGGGCTGCACAACAGGGCGTCCGAAGAGGACGGTATCCCCAATTAGATCTACAAGTCTCGTGTCGACATTCTGGTACCCTGGCTCCATGAGATGGTTCAGCAAGCTTAGGGAAATGGAGTTGTTTCTGATGACTGGGGTTAGGGCATCTTTGTGCAAGTCTTCAAGAAGGAAGATAACACAAACGGCGAGAATGCCCGCGAAATAAGCCTAATCGACGCGGCCGAGATTTTCGCTGTTGCCCTACTCAAGAGATTCCAGCGTGCGCATGACCATAGGACGCGCCAAACTATGCCAAAGTCCGAGTTGGGTTTGGATGCGCAGACCGAATATTCACACTGCGGTGCATTTTGAAGTCCCGATACGGCAGCCAGCAACCGACAGCCGTCTGCCCTGTTGATTTTGTCGCAGTGTCTAATTCCGTCCATTGGGAGTCCCTGTGACGATTAATTAAACTAGATGGTACACCGACAAGATCATCCCCACCAACAGGCCTACTGTCGTTCCGCCAATGAGCGAGTTTTAGTGCGTAACAATCTCTATCCACCATTCAATATTCGATCCAGCGGCTGAATGATCTCGGCTACGCTGACGATATCGCCTTGCTGGTCTCAAGTTCTGGTGATTTACAATCTGTGGTCATGAATGAATGAATTCGTCAAATCCATCGGCTTATCCATAAACGCTGGGAAGATTAAAGCGTTTTCAAGCTGCATACCTGACCAGGGGAAGGCACTCCTCAGGATCAATGACCCTCAACTTCAGCAAGTAGACAGTTTCAAATGTCGGGAATGGGCGTACACCGATCTATTGGCTCAGCAAAGCAAACAGTCTCCGTATGTGTCGTAAAGGTTAAGAACAGACAACTAGCCACCATGTGCGAAACCTGGAGCTGTTTGACGGCCGTTGCCTGACGACCAACCGCTGACGTCATCTAAGAAGGGCGGCTGAGGTGATTTGAGTATGTTAGCCAGCTAGCTGTTGCTACCCGCCATCCCGCCACCTCAGAGACGTCGAAGAGGAGGCCAACTCAAAAACTAGCTCGGCACAGTTCGTCATGACATGAAAGGGGCTCTTGGACCTTCGGTACTCGATCTGCGTCGCTGAAGAGATTGGGCTAAGCTGTTTTGACCCGTTGCCACGGATCGCCACGCATGGATAGGTACAATCCGTGACATCATCGAGCCCAGCTGGACCAGGCATCACCACAGATGTACCAAAACGACAGTTCGACCGTCGTCAGCGACGATGGCTACCGTGTGCTTCACAGTAGGTCGAATGTAGGGACATTGAGTTGGGTGTGAATTAGTTGACTTGTGTTACGTCTGCCGCACTCTATCCTCCTTCAACCTCCTGGACCTGGTTCCATGAGAGATTCAAGAGTACTGGAAGCGGAATCAGGTGCAGGTGGCTGGATCGACGAGAACCTACGCCTAGGCGTCCCACCACAATCCCATGTATGGCATTTGTTGTGAAAATGCAGCCCAATAACGCCCGCCCGACCCTGATTTGGCCCCCAGTTGTGTGACATCCGAGTGGCCCATTGTGGGGGTCACGACAGATGTACCATGTACAAGAGCATATTAGTGGATTGCGCATTGATTGGGTTTCGGTGACAGAGACTCATGTAGCATCAACTCCGGCAGTGAGGCAAGGCCAAAGTTAGAGGTCGGCAAGAGCGCAGCATCTAATCTGGCGTAAAGTCCAGACCGACAAGTGTCAAACAAATGTTGGTCCCTCAGCTCACATGGGCTTGAAATCGCTCGCTTCGATCTAGCACTGCTTAGTCGGCAAAAGGGGTCATCGCAGCCTAACCGTCAGTCCGGAAAAACCTGCTATCCCGCAATCCAATCCAGATCCGAGTCAAAATATAGCCGACAATGTAGGGAAGATTGGCGCACTATAAACTCGCGATTTGCAAGGATAGTCCGGCCAACTCCAGACTATAGGTACTGGAATACAAATCCCAACTAGGGGCTTCTAACATCGTCAGCGTATTCTTCCACCAAGTCGGTATCCCTCATCCGACAACTTTGACAACGCTCCGTGCTATGGCAAGAAACCTGAGGATCCTTTTAATGCGTGTCGTTACATATGTCAAGGCAACTCAGCAAAGACTGAAAACACACACAAGCCCAATAAATTCTACTGCAACTAGACCTCAGATGCTCGAACATCAGCATCAGCTGATTTGACTAGTAACTGTCGGGTAATTACTAACGAGGTAGCTGCCGGATAAATTTCCGAGGCTCCCAGCCATGGAGAGGCAAGAGTTGACAAGGTATTACTTCCAGAACGGCTATATGGGAGGGAAACGGAAGCACCACACGTCACGACCGATTGCATAGGGGTTATGTGGAACACGGAAATGCTAAAAATCACGCAAATAAAACGACCTCAGGGACAGAAATGCTTCTCGGCTGATCACCAAGTAGATACCTTCAGGAAGCGAAAGGTCGGAGTGGACATTTCAGCATGCACTTAGGAGAGGCCTCCGCCCACACCGCATTCCGCACCCGAAGAGTGCTAACGACTACTTCCAACTTATAAAGCACGCCAGTCGGTCGGGAACAGTTGCAAAACCTTACCGACTGTGGTTGCCTTACGCAATACATTCGATTAAACCCATCACATACCACCCAATCATACCAAGACACGTATCACCAACAACCGAGGCCTATTTTCAACGCACAATGTCACCACCATAGTTAATTATGCCGCCCACAGAACCCCGCCCAGTGATAGACTACGCCGGGCAGTCTAACTCTACGACCAAAAGGCTGCCTATTTGACTCTCAGCAAAGTCTTCGCTAAGTAATCATTTCTCACCAACCAGACTGTAGATTCGTAACAAGATCAATGCAGCAATCTGCCTGCTGTAGAACCAAGACTGGTTAAAAAGCAATAACGCTACCTTCTGTTTCAGAACATGCATCACGAAGATTTTCATTGTACGGTCTAATTCTTCCGTAAATAACATTGCACATAACTGCACCGAATATATCGACAAGTTCCTAAAGTTCACCTCGGCCCCTCAGAATCGTCCCACACTTTTGCGCTCTCATGCAAGTTTGTCCAGCTTAATTGCACATGAGTGCTGGATAGTTTAGGAAAATAACTGCGTCTTTCTGTTTCCCGTTTTAGCTCACGAGCGTATCAAGAACTCTATAGTGGAATGGTATGTTGATATTCTTGTTTAATTTCTGAGGAAATTAATGCGCGGACTTGGAGTAAATCCTTCGGAACTGGCATTTTCAGACAGGGGCCGAAATTTGATATGAACTTTTGAGCTGAAATTCATCAGCTACTGCTGAATAACCGCGTAATATTCACAAACCGCCAACAGGCAACCAGTAGTATAGAAGTGTGCAATTATCTACCATCCTGACAACACAGGTACAAGCTAAAAACTCAGACACGCGTGTCTCGCAGATCTTGTGTCGCTGCCCGACGCGGCTGCGAGGGGTTCGGCTCATCAGTGGGCCCCCCAGTCTTGCCCATGTGTTTTCTGGTATATGAACTCCAGTCTGACCAGAAAAATGCGTGGAGGGCTGCAGGGGCCCACTGACGAGCCGAACCCCCCACAGCTGCGTCAGGCAGCGGCACAAGATCGGCGAAACACGCATGACTGGGTTTTTAACTTGTACCCGTTTGGTCAGTACGGCAAATAACTACACAATTTTATATTGATATCCGTCGAACCCTGTTTCTATATGCGTCTAACCCCAGTCAGTCTTCGAAGGTCATTCCCTACCATCAAACGTGTCAGCAGTTGTCAGTCTGTCTGGTGCAGTTATTCACACTACTGGCTCAAATGCTGCCGTGCAGCCGTTATTGGCGCCCCCGTCCGTCTTTTCACTGATCTCCCATGAATGAGACGCGACAAGTCGCACGAAAAATCGCCCAAAGGTCAAATACCCGTCTAAGAGTGTTTCGCTGGTTCTACAGTCGATTTTCAGGCCTAGGAGTTCATGACCCTGAAGGCGAAAGTGTCCAGAAGCTGTTCGGTATCCCATCACTAAGAATGACGGGTCCATCCTAACCCTAATATTTCCTTAATCGCCAACCGGTCTCCTCGACGTATCTCACTTCGTAGGAACAACACCCGGCGCTGTAAACATGTCGCATTCCACCTCGTGACAGGGAGGCTGTGGGTTTTTTCTCAAAATCAGTGTGCAACACTGAACGCCGCCACAGGTAATGCATCACGTCAGCGGGAGGAAGAGCAGTCGAAGAGCCAGGAAACATCCGACTTCTGCAACGAGGTCTGGATAGATGTCCCGGGAGCAGTGATGCGCCACTGTGACCATTGCTAATCTTACTTACGACAGGACTATCCTCTGAACGGTTCTTGCTGAAAATGTGTTTGATGCGGATCCTAGGTCAGGCTGGTCGGAGTGTTGGTTCACTGAGGAGGACCAACCAGATAGTGCTAAAGGATGACGCTCATGGGGAGTCAAACATAGGGGAATACTAATTAGCAGCAGACTGGAAACACGCCCTCAGCAGCTCAGGGGCAAGGCACAAGGCACAAAATCGGGAGATCGACGGTTCAGACTCGTCTGGTGGAGCATGTTTTCGGGCTATTTGAGTTCTCTAACTTCTGGTTGCCAGTTATAACTTAAAAGTACTTCAGAAGTTCAAAAATGACAACGCTACACATACACAAGGTAACAACAATAGCTATTATAGGCTGGTCGCGATGTGATAACTGGCTGGACATTAAAGTTATGAACTGGCCTGGAGTCTAAGGAAGCGTTTTCCGCCTACATTTCAAACAGACGACTTGTTGATCAATCCGGTGCCTGTTACGAGGGGATTTAGGATTAACAGCAACAATTCTGCACCAACAAGCTACTCACATGTCCTTGACCTTGACTTCTGGTACAAATAATGTCAATACAGGTGGGCTGGCGACCTATCTAACGCTGTGCAAGAAAATCGTCAAAGCCAAGGGCTTCGGTTGTTTCATTTTCTTCCAGAAGGCTCCTGTAACATCTTTGCGTGCACTACAGCAAAATATTCACTACGGCCTGAATTATGTTTTTGTTTCTACAGAAGGGCGTGTTGATTTCTCTCATCTTACGTTTCGAGTAGTGATTTCGTCTACCCATCTTCAGAAACTAGGTGATGTGCACAGCTCACTTTATATGGCGCACTTGATGCATGACCCGTCACTGCCGACTGTGGAGGTGCTTCGGATCCTCATTTCACCGTGACCTGTAGCCCCGACCCTCGACCACGGCGATTGTTTCACGGGCCGGCGGATTGTCGAGTCAGGCCCGCGAGCAACTCCTATTTCGACTGGCTCGAGGGATCTAGCTACGGTTTCGGCGACCTCTTCATACACAGAGTACTTCGCCATGATTTCGGCTGGCTAAACTCTCCGTTCCGCTTCCTTTGTGACACTCGACTCCTTTCAACGAACGCTCGCAGATAGTCGTTGGGTCTGAAGAGTCCTAGGCGAAGCCTTATCTGGGCCCGTCCGGCGACTGGCGCGCTACGATGAGGTTCCACCCGTCGGCACACGATGCGGTCAAAAGACCCTATCCTTAAGCAGGAAAAATTAATCGTTGTCTACCGACTTCAATGCAGCTGCGAGGTGTGCAGCTACGTTGGAGCAACCGGTCGACCGCCAAAGCGAATTCATGAGCATCAGTTGATCGCACGAAGGTTGGACCCAAAGTCGGAGGTAGCCATCCATGCCGCGCAGGCGGAGCACATCTTCGACTTTGACGCCGTTGAGGTTGTGGCCCGAGGCCACGATCACACATCAAGGCAAGTGTAAGAAGCCCAGGTGTCCACCAAGTGCTCAAGTAACCGTCACATTAACCTGCATCTTACCTATCTGCTTTTACGAACCTCCTTGACAGAAAACAGTTACAGCGTGAAAAAATCAGAGTCACCAATTATCGCTGCGGTCAACGTGAGCCGGGGCAACAGGTAACAGCGAAATGCGGATCCGGGACACCCGCCACAGCCGAAAGTGGCGGGTAACGCATCAAGCCAAGTGCGCCATATAAAGAGGACTGTGTGCATGACCTTCCAGTCTCTAGATTAGTAGACGAAATCACTACTCGAAACGTCAGGCCTTCAATAAAACATTGCCAACGAACGCCTCTTTTTCCTTTGACATGCCATCTAGGAATCGCATTTCATTTATATTTATTTTTTTCCTCTTCAGTATCGGACGCATCACACAGTAGACTGAGACGCTGCTCGTCTATGCACCTCGGCGTGCATGCTTCATATCTGCATACCTACGTAGGGGAAGGGCGCGCGTAACGCCTTACCCGCCTTTGGAAATACACTTTCTTGAGGCGGAAAATTACATTCTTACTGATTGCAGCAGTGCTCGAAAAAGCCGCCAGCATTACGAGGTCTTGCCAATTTCTCCGGTCACGTGTCAAAAATCCTAAGAGGCCAGGCTGCGGGAGCTTGCAGAAGTGCGTACAGTGCGAAAGCAGTGGGAAACTGCCCTTGCATTACGTAACACTTACTTCTGCGGACCACAGAGTGAACCTGAAACGACTGATTTGAAACGGCGAAACGGGTACTGATTGTCGGCGGTAGAATGTTTCCGCCAGGAGCGGACGCATAAACCGTGTACGCTAATGCACACAAATAGCAGTGTGGCTAGGGGTGACGGTAAACCTCGACTCCAACACTCAAGGGATGAAATCTACCTTGGTGAAGCAAGAAGTTGGACGATACGTCTTAAGAGCCCTATAGGCAGCCATCCTTTAAAGACTCGTAGGACTATTAAATCTAGTGGCGGCAAAAAAGTTGGTTTTAAAACGATTACGGTGACTATTAAAAATTGGAGACCGACGTGATCAAATCCCTGTCTGAAGTTTGCATGGACTGCTGCAAGTTCACAGGCAACTACTCAACTTTTGCGCAACCAGGTCAGACCGTAGATCGGCGTCTTCCTAAAGAGATTCTTAAGAGGTGGCCTGGGCTCGGAACACTCGACCGTTAGGAAAGATACCATCAAAAGAGCCGGTAACTTAAAGTCAGGGCCAGCTGAGTAAGTACGATAACCAAAGCCCAATAATGTATCGGTTCATGATTCAAAGGAGTGCGTATAGAACCCGTGTTAAGACAGCAAAGCATGAATGAAATCGGTCTGCTAAAACAACCAGACGAAACTACTGTTAAAAGGCCCTCTGCAGACATTTGCTGGTAGACTCGAAAAACGGAGCCCACGGTCAGAAGTGAGGGCGAAAGATAAACCAGAGACTTGCGCCTCAATCAGTGGGTCACTATCACGGTTGAAAGTCGAACTGTGATAGTAACGGCAAAGTGTTCCCAATGAAATGTGGGGAGAGAAGGACTGAGACCTCGTCCAGATACTTCGGGTGCTCACTATTTGGAGAGTATCCTGCCAGCATATACACGCCGACTCTAATATCAGTCCGCAATTCTACCCTGAACAGAGCTCAAGACCGACACAGGAACACCAGTCCTCCACCCTATAGGTTCGGTCTTTTCGGGTAAGGGACTCACCGGTATCTTCGTCTGTGACAGCCTATAAAAATTCTGAATGAACTACTGCAGACCTGTACAGTTTTATAGTGCGTTCGGACCTGTTTGAGAGACTGTGAAGCGGTTTGCAATATTATGTGCAGTCAAAATATCTCAAAAGTCATAGATTCCATATTCGGTGTAAGTTTTACATGTGCGCAAGTTCCGTGGGTTTGCGATTACACCTCGGCACAAAAGACTTACGGGACGCGGGTTGTTTCATTTGGTTGACCCCTACAAAGAACACACGCCTCTTCCCATGAGTACAGGTTCCCAGCATCTTTTGGCGGCGACATTAGCTCGCCAGCACCTAATGTTAAATCATTGGAAAGGACGTAGCGCAATCTTGGTACACGCGGACTTCAATGGCCTGATGACTAGATGAACATTTCGACTGAGGGGGTTTGTCTTGGTGACCCGGCCTTCCTAACGAAGCGCCAGGAGAAGTCGCCCGAGCTGACATTGAACCAGTGGCAAGCAAAAAATCGTAGGAGTATTTAGTGCTGGTTAATGTTTAATGAGTCGTATTGCCTATGGACAGTGAAGTCTCAGGAAGCTCTCTCCGACAACTGACCCTTAACGCGAAATCTCGTGCCTTGGGTAGCTAATAGATGAACCAGATCGTCACTAAAGTAAATCTAGGAGCTGCATCACGCACTGATTTTAATCAGAGCTCAACAGCCGAGAAGAATACAAATTGTGACAGATATAGAAAACACAAAATAGGTAGTTCAGCGAGTAATAGCAAAAAGTGTTCAGGTCAAGCTCTAGGTGGGTGTCTGCACGTGCTATTGGTGAGAGTTATTGGGAAGGTTCGACAGCTCGTCCAGCCTACTTGCCACTGTCTCGAAAGACACGAGGGAGTCCTCTACGGAGTTTCGCATCCTCTCAAGTTCCGCAAGCCTTGAACGCAACTCCTTCCAGCACTCTGATGACGCTTTAGCCAACTTTTGCCGGTGTTCTTTTCTCAAAGGGAACAATTGTGCATTCGTATCAAGGCTGGGGACTCCACACGGACGCCTAAAGAAATTTACTTTTCAGAACACTTACCAAGGCCTGTTTGTCGTACAAGTTTTGTTGGCATCTCGAACTAATGCGCACTTCTCGTTTATGGCGAAATTTAGGAGTATTTGTTTAGTAGTCGCCTGGAAAAAAATTATACAATTAAAACCTAAGTACCATTGTCTCGGACTTGAACATCATGACTAGGTTCTCTAACTGTTCATCCATCCATCCGGGGTCGGAGGCCCTAATTTTTTTGCAGCATTCACCGACGTTTTTCCTAGGAATTATCAACTGTTTAGGACTTTACACAAAATGGTCCATCAGAGAGTCGGATATTTTCTCAAGACTTTGCACCAAACGGGTCTCCGCATCGGTTGAATCTGTTTCTAAAGACATTTCTTTTGTGATGAACCGGGACCGCACCGGTGCTTGACCTACAAACAACTGACTTAAGCATCAGACGTCTACGCTGCAATTTGAATGAAAGTCAGAATACACAGCAGGACACAGCTCTTAATGAACGGCATCCCGAAGGATCCTTCAGGGTGCAAAAGCGTCCATTTAAGAATTATCGGATTGAGTGAAATACGCGGATGAGGTATAGGAGGAACAAATGTGGTAAACCTTGGTCGTGTTCCCAGTATAGTACATAGTTATAGCAGCAAAGGGCGAACCACAAATTGTAAGCTTTGGAAGTCTTGATGGGAATGTATACCTATTACAACTTTTGTAGAGGTTATGTTAAAGTCAAAACTCGAGTTCGAGTCGCTAACCGATCTCATATGAGCAATGACAAGGTACGTGTAAATAACCATCCAGTAACTATTACCAATGTTGGATGGGCCTGATTAATGGCACGGCGACAGGTCTAGGGTAGCGGCTGAAGCCTGTGAGGTCAGTACACACGGGTAACGTGAAGTACTGGGAATAACTCCCGACTCAGATCTAGCTGCAAAAGGTTGTTAGACACAAAATCATTCCCATCGAGGCGAGGAACATGACTGGGACAAGTGCAAAGCACATACTAGGAATAGAGATTAGTACATCAGAAAACGACAGACGATACAAGGAAAGATAAGAATTACACTGGCAAATGACTAACGGCTACAATTTGTGGAATGTTTCCACCGGCTATCAAACGGTTGGTCAAACATTTTCACGCGAACTGCAATGGCTTCTACGACTCTTCTTGAGCTTAGGTTTTGCCAAATTATGAGTGGTACTTCCGGTCACTGGGCGACCCGGAGGACATGGCATATATGCCATTAAGAAACTCGATCAAGTAAGAAGGTAAGTGCACTCTTAAGCAACCGGCTGCTATAACAGCATTTTTAAACATCAAACATTAGAATACCGTGTTCTGAGCGGGATAACGATATAATAACGGCCGTGATAATAGGAGGGTCACAATGGAAGGGAAATGGGCAGAATGACAGAGTGCGCAGCCGACTGGGAAAGGGTGAATAATTAGACGAATGGACTGCTATCGGACCGTGGTGGTCGTTGGTGTTGGTTGTGAGCTTCGGAAGTAACCCAGTGAGAGGGCGGGATCGTGACCAAATCGCCGCTTTAAACAGCCGTCTGTTACATACCCACAGGTGTCTTCAGTTTATTAAAACAAACCAATGCAGGACTCTGTTAGAAGAGAAATCTAACGCTGTCTGCCCCTGTTCAGCTGGATATGAGTTTGGATTTTCAATGAAACTCTTGCTTTCTACAAAGCTGGTCACTTTAATCCTATTCAGCTAACGTTTTTGCCTGATAGATCTTGCGAGACGTTACTTGGCCTATATTAATCTATTCACTTCTCTTCGCAGTGTAGGTTTATGAACATTTTTGATTTATCACT